CTAGTTGAGGTACTTTCTGCACCACAAGGGCATCATATGATCACCAGGCACAAGGCGAAGGAACATCACTTGTCACTTGTTGCTCGCAGCAGCACAAAAATTGTGAGAGAACCAAATACTACTAAGGAAGCACTAAGATCACCTCATTGGCTTGCAGCAATGTAGGAAGAAATTGATGTTTTACATACTAACAAGACATGGATTTTGGTGCCCAAATCTCCTACTATAAACTTGGTTGGCTTAAAATGGGTGTTCAAGACAAAATTAAAAGCTAATGGGACAGTAGATAGATACAAGGCCAGACTTGTGGCAAGGGGATTCTCGCAGCTTGAATGAATAAATTTTGAAGAAACATTTAGTCCTGTGGTTAAAGCCACAACTATTAGGGTGGTTCTATCCATTGTTGTCAGTTCAAAGTGGGAAGTTAGACAACTAGATGTCAAAAATGTCTTTCTCCATGGCTTCTTACAAGAGGAGTTGTACATAAGTCAACCTCCTGGTTTTATTGATCCCTAGTATCCTCAGCATGTGTGTCTACTTAAAAGGGCATTGTATGGTCTTAAACAAGCACCAAGAGCTTGGTTTGATAGATTTAGCATGCATCTCTTACACCTTGGTTTCATTTGTAGTAAGGCTGACCCTTCCTTATTTACTTTGCAAACTCACAAAGGCAAAATATTTCTCTTGTTATATGTGGATGATATTATTGTCACATGAAGCAATCCATCTCATGTCTCAGAGTTGTTTCTACAACTTGGGAAGGAGTCTGCTATGAAAGATCTTGGCTCTTTACACTTCTTTCTAGGAGTTGAGGTGAAGTATATATTTTGAAGAAGGAATTCACTTAAATCAATGCAAGTATGCTACTGAGTTGCTGGCCAAGACAGAGATGTTTTGGCAAAGGCTGTAGCCACTCCTTTGGCTCAAAAGCATGGTTTGCATGAAGCTATGGGAAGTCTTTTAGATGCATCCTTGTACAGAATGATAGTAGAGAGCCTTCAACATCTGACCCTCACAAGACATGATATCACTCATGCTGTGAATTTAGCAAGCCAGTTTATGCAAAGCCCAAACACTGAACATCTTCAAGGGGTAAAAAGGATTCTCAGGTACATCAAATGTACTCTATACTTTAGACTCATAATTATTTCATAATCACCATGTAGGTTGTATGGCTACTCAGATGTTGATTAGGGAGGTTGTACCACAACTAGGAGATCAACTACAGGCTATAGCATTTACCTAGGTGCAAATTGTATTTCTTGGACCTCCAAGAAACAGACCACAGTAGCCCGATCGAGTGCTGAAGCTGAGTATAGAGCACTAGCCTCCACTGCCGCAGAAATGACTTGGATTTTGTATCTTCTTCATGACCTTGGGTGTTCTTTCGATCTATTTCTACGTTGTATTGTAATAATATGAGTGCCTTGTACATGACAATTAATCCAGTTATGCATGCTGGAACCAAACATGTTAAAATGGACTATCATTTTGTTCGTGAGAAAGTGGCCAGGGGACAACTTCTTACTCAGTTTGTGAAGTCTAAGGATCAGCTAGTTGATATTCATACCAAAGCCTTAACAAACAGGTTTTCTCTGATTTTCCCAGCAAGCTAGGAGTTACCCTCCACTCACTAGCTTGAGGGGAAGTGTTGAAGGAAGTTTGAAGACTGATGGAACATGTCGAAAGAACAGGTCCATCGAAGCAGGCTGGCGAGTTAGAGTTAGAGTCATAATAGGACTAGACTACTAAATCCTAAGTTATGTACAACTAAGCTACTGAATATTGTAGGAGTCGACTAGGATAAGATATTTGACTTGTAATACAATACTACTCATGTAAATAATTGTGTTGTAGTAGAATTCCTAGTATAACTAGAATATGACTCTTCTCCTATATAAGGAGCTTGTAACTCAACATTATAATCAGCAATACAATCCTTGATTTCTCCATACTTACGTGAGAATTCTACATTATCATCCCAAAAAAAAAAAACAAATCAAATATTCATAAATTTTGAATTTCAATTTGAATTTTGTGTTGACTCAAATTATCCCCCACCTAAATACAAGTCGTGATAAAAGAAAATAAAAACCCAACAGATTGACTAAAAGGGTATATACCACGTAATTATAAATTTTCTTTTGGATCTTTTAATTCATAATAATATTATAATGAAGTCAAATAAGTACTACTCCATAAAGACTAATGTACTCCGTCTTCATTGACTTCTATCATATTCTATTATTTTCACTATATCTAATATATATATATAACATCTTTGAAAGTGTCAAACGCGTTTTTGTAATAATAATTCTTTTGAATATAAACTAATATTTTGAGTAATTAATTATTATAATTTATAATGTTTTGATATTATTTTATATATATAAATTTTATTTTAAAAATTATAAAAACAATTATGTCAGAATTCACCTTTAAAATTAAAAAAGTTAACTCTGAAAAATTGGATGATACAACATAAATTGGGTAAAAAAAATAGGAGGGAATACTACAAAATTGGTTCTTTGTTACTTTTTGATTTTTCTAATTCACTATTATTTTAATATCCACCCACCCAACACATTCTTCTTCATAAGCTCTTGCTTTAAAACTATAAGAAAACAAATATTTTTGAAATGAAACACTTTTCTTCTAGGGACAAAAACTTGAGAGAGACTTACTTTACTCTCTCAAGTTTTTCCTTCCTTGCTTCCTAATTATATGTTCCCTAAATATCCTTTAGGGACAAAAATTCTTTAACGACCAGTAGTATATTACTGATCGTTAATGAATTATAATAGCGAAACCTATAACAATAGGGTTTTACTAGTTATAATCATTCCCTATTAAGTATCAATCTTTTAAAGACAATTTTCCTGTCTTTAAAAAAAAATCATTTTTCTTATAGTGCACGTACGTATATATAAAATGACCAAGCTCCACGGTTTTGTTCTAAAAAATCATGTCACTTCACTTATACGCGCAAAACCACTTTCAAGATTCTTGAAATGGACCCAACGTCTCAAAACTATTTGCTCCAAAGTTTCGGGTGCAGACTCGGGGCGTGGTTACGTACAAATCGGGCATAAAGAGAAGGCAAATGTGGTGCCAAAAGGTCATATGGCAATTTATGTGGGACAAAAAGATGGAGATTTTAAGAGGGTTTTAGTTCCTGTTATTTATTTTAATCATCCTTTATTTAGTGAATTATTGAGAGAAGTTGAAGATGAATACGGGTTTAATTATCCGGGTGGGATTACTATTCCTTGTCGGATCTCGGAGTTTGAGCGTGTCCAGACCCAAATCAAACAGGGTCGGGTTGCCCGTAAAATGCTGACTGTATAGAAAATGCATTCCGATGCATGATTTTCGATATTTGTGGTGATGATGACGATAATTAGAAGTAAATCTAGAATTTTAGATTGAGTATGATATTGTTGTATGTATTGATTTTGATTTATTTTTTTTATACATATATACTCCCTCCAATTCAATCTCTATGACATTAAGTATGATTAAGTACCAAAATATTGTAAAAAATGCAAGTTACAGAAAAACAATGAGGGGGATGGAACCAAAGAAAGATGGTACCCTTCGTCCCTTCCTTTCATGAGACATCTAATTTTCTTCTTTTTCTTTTCTAATCGTCAAATTAGTGCTATGTAATACTTTTATGACATCTTAAGGGAAGGGGCGGAGCTACAGTGTCTTGAGGGTGTCCAAGTGGACACCCTTCGTCGGAAAATTATACCGTACACCTAAGTAAAATCCTGTTCTAAATGGTTAAATTAATACTTTGGACACCCTTGTCATAATAAGCTACTGTGGCTCAGCGGTTGGAGTCTCCCTTGTTGAGCTTTGACGCGCAGGTTCGAATCCCTGCAGCAACTTATCCTTTTATAGTCATTTTTTAAAGAGCTCATATTTCCTTATTCCTTTAATTATCTAAGATAATAGTTAGTAAATTTCTTATAAATCTATAATTTTAAAATCTAATATAGCTTATTGAATTTTCAATGAAGTTGATTTTTTATTTCTTTTCATTAAAGTTTGAAATAAAATTCTAATATTTGTACAACGCTGTTAAAAGCAAACAAAAGAAGACCTCATTTGTTTCTACTTCAATTTTTCGTGTCTCGATATTTTTGTCGTCACTAGAGATTAGTGTAAGTTTGAAACTTAAAAATGATATCATGCGATTTGATTTTTAAAATTTTAGAACATTTATTCATAAAAAAATATTAATAGTACATTGTTCGATTTTGAATTTTCTAGTGCATCCATTTATCAAAAAAATTTTGCTTATATAAATCTTGGACACCCTTCGTGAAATTTCTAGCTACGCCACTGCTTAAGGGGCCATTTGGTAATCAGATAAGAAACAAGTTTTTTTGTGTATTACTCTCCGTCTAACTTATACAATGTTTGGTAGGTAGAATGGTAGATAGAAAATAAGTTATTCATGTATAAAATTAATATGACGTTTGGTTAACTATTTAGAAATCCACATAACTAATACATGTATAAGTTATGAGGGAATCAATGTATGATAGAATGTGGAAACATAACTAATCCTTATATAAAATAATACATAAATTCACTCATAATTATTCTCTACATTACTAATAACTGCATAACTCTAACTAGCTACCAAACAAGTCCTTTTTTTTTGTCAATTCTAATCGATCAAAAAATATAATTGCAGCATGAACAAATGTGAACATCAAACAACCTCAAACAAAGTTGTATAACAACCTAAATACAACCCTAAATTTAAATAACTTAACCTGTTAAATGATTCAATCTCTATTTTGTGCATCTTGAAGATGTTGGCGATGAAGGTTCACTCGCAAGACGTTCATATTCCCTTTCTAAATTATCAATTCGTCTTCTTAGCGATTTATTTTCTGTTACAACTCGGAGGAATTAGCGTCTTTCAGCTCCTCAGCGCTTATTCCATTTTCATCATCGTCTTCAAATTCAGAATCTGATTGTGGCTCACCAAGCCTCTCCCCATGGTGATACCAAAAAGTATAATTTTGAATTATTCCATATACAATCAAATGATCCCTAACCATCTTCCGTGTTCCGGGAGTCGTGTTGCAACATTTGACACAAGGACATCGTATTTCATCCGTTTCTCCTGTTCTTCTAAAAGCAAAATCTACAAATTTTTGTACCCAATTATGTAAGCATCATCAAGTCGCCTATCAACAAGTTGCATCCATTGCTTATTAGGCGCCATGACCTGGTACATATTTGACACGGTGTAACAACAAGAAGTAAATAGAAACACGAAAACATAACATTAGGTAGTGGAATTTAGAAGAGTCCAAATCCAGAGTTTATGGAACATGATAAGTTTTCAAATACAGTTTAGTCAAATGAACACAACAATGTTCCAATGCATTTTCCAGAATCTCGAGTAAACGTTCTAAGTTGATGGAGAGTAGCATAAACCAAGACATGTATCTCTTTTAACAGTGTATAAAAGATGATGTTCTATCTCTTAATTTTGTGTCTTCATTTTCTAAGATAGGATGATATGGAGGTCGATGATTAAGGTAGAAGGTGAGTAGGTAGTCAAGCGTTTTCTAGTTTTCCCTATCAGTAATATTATTATTGTTACTCTACCACTATCTTATTTTTAATATTTTTATTACCTTTTACTTAGGTTATGTATTATTTGTTGCTCATGTTCTTTTCTCCATAATTTTCAGCATGACTTCTTTACTACTGTATTTCCTTTTCATTGTGGTTACTTGGGCTGAGGGTCCTTCAGAAACAAAATCTCTACCTTCACAAGGTAGGGGTAAGGTTGCTTATGCACTACCCTCCTCAGACCCCACTTGTGGAACTACACTGGATAAGTTGTTGTATTTCCTAAGATATTCAAATATGATATTGTTTTCCCAAGAGAATGAGGAAGCATTATTGGGTTGATATTCCATTGAAGAAACAACGTTTACCCTGGGAGCATGATGATCAAACTTTTGAGATTTCTTCCCATATTGCTAATACATTATACGAGCAGCTCTATGCGGTTATTTTTTCAGTGGACAGAAGATCACAAAGATGGCCTTGGAAATGATTTATCTGGATCTCTATCCTCTTCTAATTCAGTGCTAACTAAAAAGTAAACTAATAGTCCAAAGGAAAATAAGAAAGAAACACAAAAAGATCAAATACAGAAACATCAAGGCGGGGAAATAAAAAGAGCAACAAGCAATAGATGTTAGATGATTATAGCAGACTAATTTCAACCATGTTCCTGACGAAGAGCAAGAGATACAGTACCATTGACAGATAATAGCATCACCATACGGACGAATTGTTACATCAAAACAAAAAGAAATGCATGAAGTAATTCGCAAAAGGGGAGTATCCTATAGTTATAGTAGATTAATACACGATTTGTACAAGAGTCATGGAATCAACTGAACTTACCCGAAAGGGAAATCGAGACGAAGTTAACCAAATAATCCCAACTACAATTAAGAAAGAAGGACAGGAAAAAAAGAAGTAAAGAGAGCTTAGCAGAACTGAATACTCCCTATGTTCAATTTATATGATGTTTTCCTTTTAGTTTGTCCGAAAAAGAATAAGACATTTCTATATTAAACAATTTAACTTTAATATTTCCATCCCTTAATTAGATAATTATTAACCATACAAATGTCTATAGTTTGTTTTAGATCACAAGTTTCAGAATTCTTTCTTTATTTCTTAAACTTCAGTCAAGTCAAACAACCTCACATAAATTGGAACGAAGGGAGTGATTAAATTTTCCCATATAAAATCATTTGGCTCAAATTCAAAAGCATGCCCATCAAAGGGATTGAGTCTATGTTTGCATTATGTGTGAAATGATTGAACTGAAACCTAATCAGAGAGGTGTATTTCTTTCTTGCCACAGTGGCTAAAAAACGGTTGCCCAAAAGCTTAATCAGCTAAAATTATAGATGAGTGATCAAATACACAAGTCATAAACTTAAAGCAGGAGGTTCAATGACTTTGCCAAAATGTAACAACTGATTGATACCAAAAGCAGATTTTAAGGCAATGGCATCCTTGAAAACAACTGTTACTTTTTCTTTAAAATGGCATCCTTTGAATCTCCCACCTAAGCAGCGCGTTGCAACTCGAGTACCCTTGCTCAACAAAAGTCTCTTTACAACATTAGCTAAGTGCATTCTGGTTATTCTTCATATTGAAACTACTAACATAATAAGCTGAAAATAATGCAATCTATTAAACTACATCTTGAAACCTTCTTATCTATCTCTTTTCCCTGATCGATCTCTTCCATTATTAACCACAATATCAATCAATTATCAATATTTAGTGCAGGTCAGTAAAAAGACTAATGACTCTTGCTGTAATAGTGGCGGACGTTAATTTTGGTGAAGTATGACATTAAAAAGGTAATCTCGTGCACTAAGCTCGTTTCCACAGCTTGAACTCATGACCTTCTGGTGTCATAAGAACAACTTTACTCATTACACCAAGGGTCCCTTCCGGTGAAGTATATATGACATTCTAACTTAGAAATGAAAAGTGCTACTACTGCTGTTTATTTTTTTTCTTTGTTTTGTTTTGAATGTCAAGTTATAGATAACATGCTAATTTACATTGTCATTAAAAAGGGCACCAATTTGCTGCTCAAACTCCCAATCTATCTTATAATAAACTAGAACTGAATTCAGAACCCAACATCTTTCAAAATGTTTCTAAAACTAATTCATTCTATAAAAAAAGAGGTTTCTAAGGCTTATCATGATGTTTTTCCCCTTTTAGGCATTTTACCATGAAAATTTTCACTTTTTTTTGGAGTTGAAATTTTTAAGAATTTGAAAAACAACAAAAAAGTGTTTTCACTTTTTCACTCCAATTTGCTCACAAAAAGTGAAAAACAACTCCAATTTGTATTCATAGCCAAACACAAATGATCATTTTTCACCTTTTGACAAATAATAAAAAGGAGGAGGAGGGATGATTAGCAAATACATAGTAATAAGTGTGATGAACCAATTGGTAAAGTAGAAAGTCATCATAAGTTTACCTGATAATGGTTGATTTGGAATGAGCAATGCTTCCGCCCTCTACTGTAAAAAACTCTAGTTCCGGCTGCTGAATGCTGATGACGAGGGTTAATACCCTATGAATGAGTCTGTTTTCTCGTCAAAACGGCCATAATGGTTCTTAATAAATGCCTAATGTTTTATTTTGGTTTTTAATATATTCTACTTGATTGAAATAATACTTTATGTATAACATTTTGATTCTTAATGTATTTTAGTTGATTGAAATGATCCCATAATAAAAAATGTTTATTTTAGTCCTTTATCCTAAACTTAACAGAATTATCAAGAAAATATTTAATTTAATTATGGACCCCACATGGCTAACAAGATTCACCTTTAATGTCTTCTTTGTTAGCTCTAAAGAAAAATCTCATGACATATAACATTTTTTTATTTTTTTTTTACGTTCTCTAATAAAAGTCATTATTTTCTCTTGCTTAAAACATAAATGGGTATTACGTCAGTAGACAAATATTTTAGAAAAGAAAAATAGTAAATTTTGTTGGAGAAACTAGAGAAAATGGTGTTAGATTTTTCGGAGTTCTTTCTTTGAAGCTAACAAAAAAAAACAACAATGGTAAAATTTATTAGCCAGGTAGGTCTAGAGTAAAATTTAACACTTTTAAGAATATATATATATATATATATATATATATATATATGTTAGGTTTAGGGTAAAGTATCAAATGAACACTTTTTGTCATACATTAAAGACCATTTCAATCAAATAAAATATATCAAGGAGTTTAGGATAAAAGATTAAAATGAACATTTTTTTGTCATACATTAAGGACAATTTCAATCTAGTGAAATACATTAAGGATCAAAATGAACATATTTGTTATATATTAAGGACTATTTAAATCAAGTGAAATATATTAAGGACCAACATAAAACATTACTCATACATTAAGCACCATTTTGATCATTTTCTAGTGTTTTATCCTACTCCCTCCTTACTTAAATGGGGATAAGGCACAAGTACCCCCCTAGACTATGACCGAATTTTCAGTGACACACCTTAACTAAACTAAGGTACTATTACCCCCCTGAACTTATATTTTTTGTAATTTTGTACACCTTTTGTCTTACGTGGCACACTCCGTGACTCCACGTAAGTGAGGCGCGTGGGAGATATTAGGAAGCCACGTAAGCCAAAAAGGTGCACAAAATTACAAAAAAAAAATGGGTTCAGGGGGGTAATAGAACCTTAGTTTAGTTAGGGTGTGTCTCTGGAATTTCAGTCATAGAGGTACTTGTACCTTTTCCCTACTTAAATGCTTTGTCATATTTATTTATTTTTTGGCCAATACACATACTTAACCCTCTCTCAACTTGTTATTAAATTTTATTTTGGGATTCTAACTTAACCTTGTTTCAGTTTATCCTCTAACGCTATTTTTAATGTATCATTTATACAGAAAATTGATTTAGTTAATAAAAATGTCAAGTAAATTCGGATGACTTGGAGAAAACAAAACACATGACATTATTTAATTGAAACTTTTTTAAAAAAAAATTAATGTTTGTCTAACATGTGCTTAACACTTATACTGTAATTGTAGTTAAAGAAAAAACAAGACTAAGTTGAAATGACAAGATGAAATTTTAAGACAAATTAAAGGGATTGTGTATGTGTTTAGATCCAAAAATCAGAATAACCACAATATCGAACTGTAATGGCCTCTTCTACAAACACCCTATCAACCTCCTCAGTTCACCATCTTATTGCCGTCTTGTTCCAGTAAACTTAAGACAACACATTATCTTATATATATGGTGGACACAAATGTCTTAGTTGATTCAAGTGATGAGATTAACCTACCTCATCACAGAGAATGAACCAACTAAAATACATGTTCCACTGGACAAACTGTTGAGAAAGTTTTAGCATTTGAGAAGGATGCAGAAGACAACAATAATATTGATGATTGGGAGGAGAATGATGTGTTTCTAAAAAGTTAGATCTCATGCACCTTGATTGAAGAAAGCACGTACCTGATTGTAGGCTACTCAACTGTCAAGGAGATGTGGAAATGCTTGGAAGAGGCTTATCTTCAAGCAATGAAAGATAAGGAGTTCTAACTCAAAAAACAACTACAAAGTGTTAGGCTAGGAACTAAAAAGATTGATGAATATACTAAGGAATTCAAAGGCATATGTGATGGTCTTGCAGCCATTCACAAACCTGTGGATGAAGATAGCGAAGTAATTTATTTTTGCTAGAGGTCTACGTCTCAAGTACAAGACCTTCAAGATTGTCATTCTAGGTAAGACACCATATACCACTCTTAATCAATTCCTTAATGCTCTTAGGGGGTTTGATATGAGTGAGGATGAAGAAGAAGTGCCACAACAAAATCATACCATGGCATTCTCTGACCAAAGGGGCAGGGGAAGAGGAAACTACTCTCAAAGAAGAGGAAACAATAACTTCAATTTTAGAGGAAGAAGCTTCAAGCCTGCTGGACAGGGAACAAGTTCTTATAACGTCAAATATGGACCAGGTTCTCAGATAGTCCTTTAAGTGGTAGTCAGGAGAGGAATAGTATTGATGCGTGTCAAATTTGTGGTAGAAATAATTATATTGCTCTTAAGTGTTTCTACAGGTGGGACTACTCTTACCAAGCTGCAGTTGAGCTACCACAAGCATTGACTGCTACTAATCTACAAAACACTACTGATGACACCTTGTATGTGGACTCAAGAGCAAGTATTCATATGACACATAACCCAAGCATTCTAACTGATCTTAAACACTACAATGAACCAGATCAAATCATTATTGAAAATGGATCAAAGTTAGACATAACACATGTTGGGAACATATCAGGATCAAGCCTAAAGTTAAGAAGTTCTTGTAGTTCCTAAGATTAATAAAAATGTACTCTCAATTAGTAAACTTGCAAAGGCTAATTGTTGCACTCTTGAATTTGATGAAACTAACTTTGTTGTAAAGGACAAGAAGACAAGGACAGTGTTGGCCAAGGAATCTAAAAGGAATGGACTCTATGCTTTGGAAGATAACAATCTCTATAATTTAACTGTTGCACACGATTGGAATACATGAGACAACATGTGACTTACTAGATTAGGAAACCCTAGTTTGAAGTCTTTAAAAGTTTTGAGTACCAATAGTTGCATCAATGTTAGTAGTTGAAATAAAATGTCTACTGTTTGTTCTAGTTTTCAGTTGGGCAAGAGTTGTAAACTTCCATATGGTTTGAGAAATAAAATTGAGAAGGAACCGTTTTTAAAAATTCATTGTGACTTGTGGGGACCTGCTCCTGTTGAATCTTCTCAACATATGATATAGTATGTCGTTGTTGTAGATATCACACAAGATATACATGGATTTATCCACTAATAAGGAAATCTAATTTTTTTGAGGTCTTTGTAAAATTTCAGAAAATTGTGGAAAAACAATTTTCTAAAGAAATTAAGATATTTCAGTATGATGGAGGTGGTGAGTTTATCAAAACATACTTCATCAAGCATTTGGAAGATTGCGGCATTGTGAGACATATTTCATGTCATAACACACCTGAACAAAATGGAGTGTCAGAAAGAAAACATAGCCATATTGTGGAGACTGTCTTAATTCTACTACTTCATACCAACCTACCTTTGTTTCTATGAATTGAAGCTTTCCTCACTGCAGTGTTCCTCATTAATAGACTACCCTCCTCAGTCCTAAAGATGGTGACTCCATTTGTTTAAGTTGTATGGAGAGCAACCTGATTACAACAGCCTAAAGGTGTTTGGGTGTAGATGATTTTCATATATCAAGGGTAGCAACAAGTTTAGTCCAAAGACTTACCCTTGTGTGTTCATAGGGTACAACAACTTACACAAATGATATAGATGTTATCATCCCTCTACAAGGAGGGTGTACGTATCCATACATATTGTGTTTGATGAAAATACATTATCCTATGTATCTCCAAGTCAATCTTAGACTAGCATTGATGTCTCACCTCACCTTCCTACTTTTGTTGAATCTTTTCTAAACTGTGGGCACATGATAATCATAATTCAGGGGAAGTACAGGTTGATAGTACACAAGTTATTGGTGAAAATGCTACTACTACAACCACTACTAAAAAAACAGTGAATACCGACCTAAAATTTTCCGACCTCAAATGGAGGTCAGTATTTACAAGTAGACGGTTTTTATACAAAATAAAGCGGGAAAACCAAATTCCGACCTCTGGAGGTC